CTTGATGTAGGTTTTACTATGATTTAAGGCTACAAGGTTATGATAATCAGTTATACCTTTTCATGTTCTAACAGGGAAATGGACATGTTTTGAAAGAAAAGGGGATTGTGCAATTCCAGGAAATTTTTTCTAAACTATTTCCTCCTTGATTTAATAACATTTTACAGAGTGTTTACTATCCTGCAGATTACACTCTATCCCCAAACGTTATTTGACTTTCTATTTCCATTTTTTTTTAATTTCTTATTTGAAATATATCATATAAACTCATTCCATCTAGAGAAAAGAGACAAGTAGGTCCTTAAGTAATATTTTTGGACTCTGAATAAAATTATGGTTTTAGATTTTATGATAAATCTTATTCAAGATAAAATTACCCATTGATTTAGGAGAGAACTGAATAGTTGATTTAGAAAAACAGTTGGTTTTAGGTAGAAAATAACCAAAATATTATGTCTTCAAAATTAAGATAAAATTAATTTCAGACATGGAACCATAAGATGCATAGATACCAGGGCAGAGGGACCATGGAAGTCATAGAGTTCAAATACCCATTTGACAAGTGAGGAAAATCAGATCCAGCAAAGGGATCTGAACTGAGGTCAACCTCTCACTTCACCCACTCTCCTGGCAGTCACTTCAGGGAGACCTCAGGCTGGCACTTGCCCCAGCCTGTCCAAGATCCCCTCTAAAACACCAGCAAGGATGGAAAACATGACCAACAATATATAAAAGTCAGACCAACAGATTGTCAGACCATGGAGGACTGTCCACTCACCGTAAGGAACTTGGCGTTAACTTGAAAAAACAACTTGGGGCTTTTCATCATTGATGCTTTATGCCATCATGGTTTCTGAGGGAAGGTTGGATAGTACTAAGCCCACTAGATTTATATATAATTTACTTCAAAGAGGAATAAGAAAAATTAAATTTAGTCACTTTTCATTTGTGTTTCTCTTATTTCTAAGGACTGTTCATAATACAGTTATTCTTGTCAACAAAAAAGAAAACACAAATATTTTATTATTATTATGAGCTCAACCCTGGTAAAAGAACAAGCTATTTTCCAAAAGGATATCCTATATAATAAAGAGTGAATATGCCAATTGACCCTCAGCTGTCGCAAAGATGGAGGTGCCCACAGCCAATAAGGAGGAAATATGCTAATTGACTGCCATGCCCTCAAAAATGGTGTGCCCACAGCCACAAAATGTCAGTGCCCAGTCCCCTCAGCCTCATTGGGGCAATAGGCATGCTGCAAGGCTAGGCCTCCCCCCCAAGCAGGCACAGCCTTGCCATGTGCCTGCCTCCAGAGTCCCCCAGTCCCCTCAGCCCCCCAGCCACCCAGGGCCAGCCTGAAGCACAGGTCACCAGGGATTATCGAGGCTTGCACTGCCAACAGTGGCAGCAGTAGAGGTGTGATGGGGGCATCAACTTACCCTGATCACCTGGTCACCTCCTGTGCCTGAGGGCTCCTAGACTGAATAAGAGAGGGCAGGCCGGGCTGAGGGATGCCCCCTCCAGTGCATGAATTTTCATGCAATGGGCCTCTAGTCCTATATAATAAAGAGGTAATATGCAAATTGACCATCATTCCAACACATAATATGGCCATCCCCTTGTGGTCAAAGATGGCTACCCCATGTGGACACAAGATGGGCTGGCAGGGGCAGTTGTGAGCAATCAGGCCAGCAAGGGAGGGCAGTTAGGGGTGACCAGGCCAGCAGAGGAGTAAAGTTGGGAGTGACCAAGCCTGCAGGGAAGGGCAGTTGAGGGAGACCCAGGCCTGCAAGGGAGAGAAGTTGGGTGGGGACCAGGCCTGCAGGGGAGGGCAGATAGGGGTGACCAGGCCTATTGCCTGGACAGTTAGGGGCAAACAGGCTGGCAGGGGAGCAGACAGGCATCAATCAGGCTGTCAGGGGAGTGGTTAGAGGGTGATCATGCTGGCAGGCAGAAGTGGTTAAGGGCAATCAGGCAGGCAGGCAGGCAAGCGGTTGCGAGTCAGCAGTCCTGGATTGTGAGAGGGATGTCCAATTGCCCGTTTAGTCCCGTTTAGTCCTGATCTGACTACCAGGATTGGGACTAAACTGGCAGTCGGACATCCCTCGAGGGGTCCCAGATTGGAGAGGATGCTGGCTGGGCTCAGGGACACACACCTCCCTGCATGAATTTCATGCACTGGGCCTCTAGTAATGACATAAAAGTGAATTTTAGGTGAGAATAGAAGTGTCAATGTAGGAACAAATGACTAGTGGTGCCTGATTTTTCTGTCTTGACAAATTCATGATTCTATTTGATACTGAATGGAAATGCAGTTGCAGTTAAATAAAATAAAAATGGATATGCTTTCAAATTTGGTGTTGTTTTTTTTTTTTTAATGGACCTCTGTATATATTCTCTTTGATTCCTTATAAACACCCAGTCCTGCAGCATGGTTTATCAAAAAGAGTGTTGGTTTTAGAACAAAGTTCAATTCCCAAGTTTTTGACTCAAATTTTCTGCCTTTCTATTATAATAATTTGTCTATAAAACTTAGATAGAAATATCTATAACACTTAGAAAAGATGGAAAAAGAAAGATTGTCATATTGCAGAAAACAACCCACAACAATCCATATTTGTAACTGCATTTTTAGGTTTTGCTGAATCCTCCTGTAGCCTACCCCTAAAATGATTGTGTCCTTAGAGCCTGGGATTTACTCTCCCATTATTTGTGTCAGAAAAAAAAATGAACAGTGAGTAGGTCAAGTGACAAATTAAATTAACAGGTAGATAAAAATATTCCCATACTATTGCAATGCTCTCCTATTGCAACAATTGTTTTTGCAATATCCAGTCAAGTTTCATTTTCTGGTCTAGTTAAAATGCTGTGGGAGGCTTACCTAAGACTAGAGAACATTGACCTTTGCAAGGTATTAACTGCTCCTGAAGAAACCTCACTGATGCTCAAAGGAATGGGGTGGGGTGACAGCACACCCATGCAGTGGTAGGACTCATAGGTGAGGAAGAGGCAATGAACAAGCAAGGTAGTTCTTTCATGGACCATATCTTGAATTATAAATAGATTCCCAAGCTCAACTGACCTTCTCAGGAACATGTAGATTGCTGAACTTGATTTTCAGATTTAGTTTAGTGCTCATATCCACAAAGAAATGACGCTCTGTGGGGGGGGGGGGGGGGGGGAAGGGGGGGAATGCTGAGGGCCATCCTTTTGACCAAGAAGTTTCAGATACCTAATTAATAAAAGTTTATTTTTAATGTAAAGGTCATTTTCTATCAGAACATTTCTCCACAATCCCTGTATTTTGCTTTCAGAGTATTTATCCCAATTAAGAGTTAGCTGCTGGTTTTCTTACTAGCAGAAATTTTTGACCTCTGAGTCAGAAACCAGAAAGTTTTGGCAGGAAGGAGTATTTTCCCACCTTACCTCAGGGATGGATATCTTTATAAGGCATCAATAATGAGAAGCCCCAAGTTGTTTTCTTGAGTCAATGCCAAGTTCCTTATGGTGAATGGACAGTACTCCATGGTTTGGCAGTCTGTTGGTCTTACTTTTCCATATTGGTGGTCATGTTTTCCATCCTTGCTGGTGTTTTAGAGGGAATCTTGGACAGGCTGGGGCAAGTGCCAGCCTGAGGTCTCCCTGAAGTGACTGCCAGGAGAGTGGGTGAAGTGAGAGGTTGACCTCAGTTCAGATCCCTTTGCTGGATCTGATTTTCCTCACTTGTCAAATGGGTATTTGAACTCTATGACTTCCATGTCCCCTCTGCCCTAATATCTATGCATCTTATGGTTCCATGTCTGAAATTAATTTTATCTTAATTTTGAAGACATAATATTTTGGTTATTTTCTACCTAAAACCAACTGTTTTTCTAAATCAACTATTCAGTTCTCTCCTAAATCAATGGGTAATTTTATCTTGAATAAGATTTATCATAAAATCTAAAACCATAATTTTATTCAGAGTCCAAAAATATTACTTAAGGACCTACTTGTCTCTTTTCTCTAGATGGAATGAGTTTATATGATATATTTCAAATAATAAATTAATAAAAATGGAAATAGAAAGACAAATAACGTTTGGGGATAGAGTGTAATCTGCAGGATAGTAAACACTCTGTAAAATGTTATTAAATCAAGGAGGAAATAGTTTAGAAAAAATTTCCTGGAATTGCACAATCCCCTTTTCTTTCAAAACATGTCCATTTCCCTGTTAGAACATAAAAAGGTATAACTGATTATCATAGCCTTGTAGCCTTAAATCATAGTAAAACCTACATCAGGATTGTTAACTATTTGAGAGAAAATGCACTTGGAATGATATTTTTCAACTTACAAATGTGACAAGTATAGGAACCCAACCATCCTTCAAATTCACACGCAATAGATTGCCCCAGTATGTGGTTATGAGCATTCCATCTTATAGATAATAAAAATTTCACCCCAAAAGTGATGGCATTGCCACTGGAGACCAGAGGGTAAAGTGACAGAAAAGATCATGGCTTGGGTACAGTTATCAGCCATTAAAACCTTTAGGTTCTATTTGTTTTCCCCTGGAATTGACCAACTTAGGAGATGACTGGGTCTAACTAATAGCACAAGAAGAGTGTCCACAAAGCCTTTCCCCATGGTTCTGCTGTTCCCTCAGGAAAGAAGAACAAATAACTTAAAGAGGATGGGTAGTAGGATGAGGAAACCCACTCCTAATTATTCATTGTCTCCACACATTTTGGGACTTGTTTATATCATTCTGTAAACTTTGTTGCCTTTATTTGCTTTTTTTTTTTTCACCTTCCCCACTAAAGTACAAATTCTTTTGGTATAAAATTCTTACAATTATTTATGGGCCCTGCTTGTCCCCTTACCCAAAAACCCTTTCTCAGAAAATATTTGCGAATGAAATATTTGAATGGATCTTCTAGGTCTTCTCTTAGTCTTCAATTGCAAATGAGATAGAAAAAGAAGAGGGCCAAAGATAAACTTTTGCCTCTCTTATACAGGATTTTGTACCACTGTATCAAAACTTTGAGAATTTCTACACACGAAACATTTACATGAGAATCAGAGACAACTGGAACCGGCCCATTTGCAGTGCCCCAGGGCCTCTGTTTGACGTGATGGAGAGGGTGTCGGATGACTACAACTGGACATTTCGGTGAGGCCATTAACTGGAGGGGATTGGTTGAAAGGAAATCCTTTCGTGGGCACCAGATTACAGATCTGAAAAACCACCGCAAGAAAGCAATTGGTCTTCCATCATTCAGCCTTTTGTAAGCCCTCACATGCCAGTAGGGGAAGTCACAGTGATTCTACTTCCAAGGGTAGCATGTTTATATTGCAGTTAAGTAAGATCTGTGTCAGAAGGTGCAGGATACACAGAGCTAGCCAGCAAGGAAAAGCCCTTCTCAGCTGTATTGACAAATTATATCTTCTACTTCTTGCTGAAGTGATGACCGTGGCTTTTTTCTCATTGAGAAAGTTTTTGCTGCAATTTAAACCAGGGCACAGGTGTCATGAAAGCGAGTGCCCGAGGAAAATCAGGACTATATAATATTGCATGGCTTGGACACTTTTTGTAATACTCTACCCAGCTGCAATATGGGGATACTTTCTTCTAAGGACAACCCATTTTGTGGTGGCAACCATGCAAGTCTAAAAATATATGTATGATTTGGACCAGAAAGAGAGATTTCTTTGTGAGTCTTGTATGGGGCACTATGATGATATTAAATGACAATGCCCTTTGTGCTCACCTGCCTTTCTCCCTGCAGCTTCACTGGAAGAATCATCAAAGATGTCATCAACATGGGCTCCTATAACTTCCTTGGCTTGGCAGTCAGGTACGATGAATCTATGAGGACAGTGAAGGAGGTTTTAGAGGAGTATGGCGTAGGTGTGGCCAGTACCAGACATGAAATGGGTATGTATGTTCACCATTTTGAAATTTTGTCTAGTTGGGTCTCAGATTCCCTGTGGCTACTTCTCAAATGTAGATCTTATCTAGACTGTGTGACTCAAAAAGCTGGTATATAATGCGAGAGGGGAAAGGTATATGAAGGTCTTCATGGAAATTTCAAACACTATGCTCTTGTCAAGTAGATCTTAGTTATTCAGAATAAAAATTTGATCTTTCCTGACCATTATTATCTAAAATAGCAACTATTATCTCTTTTGCTTGGCCCCTTTTGGGTTCTTTCTCCCACCTTTTTCTTTATTTAAATATATTTTATTGATGTTTTACAGAGAGGAAGGGAGAAGGATTGAGAGTCAGAAACATCGGTGAGAGAGAAACATCAATTAGCTGCCTCCTGCACATCCCCCACCAGGGATGTACCTGCAACCAAGAACATACCCCTGATGGGAATCAAACCTGGGACCCTTCAGTCTGAACCTGGGACCCCTCCACAGGCTGACGTTCTATCCACTGAGCCAAACCAGTTAGGGCATTCTTTTTCTTTTTTAAACAGCTTTATTGAGATATAATTGATATAAAAAATTTTTTACTTATTTAATATATACAATGTAATGAATTCAGACATATGCATACACCCATGAAGCTATCACCAGTCAAGTAATAAATATATCTATCACCTGAGAAAGTTTCTTTGTGGCCCCCCCCCCTTTTTTGTGGTAAGAACACTTATCATGAGTTCTACCCTTTTTAAAAAAATATATTTTATTGATTTTTCACAGAGAGGAAGGGAGAGAAACAGAGAGCTAGAAACATCAATGAGAGAGAAACATCGATCAGCTGCCTTCTGCACACCCCCTACCGGGCATGTGCCCATAACCAAGGTACATGCCCTTGACTGGAACCAAACCCAGGATCCTTCAGTCCATAGACCAACGCTCCACCACTGAGCCAAACCGGTTTCGGCAAGATCTACCCTTTTAATAAATTCTTGGGTGTGCAATACAGTATTGTTGACAATTGGCACTAAGTTATACAGAGGATATTTAGATCTTATTCACTTACCAAACTGAAACTTTTATACCCATTGGAAAATAACTTCTCACTTGGATTTAGCTCTTTCTTCCAGTTTTCTGAATGATGTCCACACTGATCTTGATTTGTATATTGCCTGTCTGCTACCACAACATAAACTTCATTAAGGAAGGAATCGGCCTGTTGACTGTTGTGTTGAATGAATGAATGAATGAATGAATGAATGAATGGGCTAGTTGGAACAGACTGCTTAATTATTTAGCTAGAATATTCTCTCTTATTCAGAGGAGTGACATCAGTGAGAAGGAAACTATTACTCCATTTCAGGGATGAAGAGTGATGCAAACTTTCTCCTGTAGAGTACTTTACTATTCCTGGTGCTTCATTTGCTTATACACCATCTCATTTATTCTTCACAGAAAGCCTGTGCTGTGGTAGGCTGTGGTAGTTTGTGTTATTCCCACGTTCTAGAGCACTGGTCGGCAAACTGTGGCTCATGAGCCACATGTGGCTCTTCCATAAAATACCACGGGCTGGGTGAGTCAATTTTGAAGAAGTGGTGTTAGATAACATTTAAGTTTTTAAAAATTTAGCTCTCAAAAAAAATTTCAGTCGTTTTACTGTTGATATTTGGCTCTGTTGACTAATGAGTTTGCTGACCACTGTTGTAGAGGAACAAACTAAGATCATAGTGACTAAGTGATGGGTGCCTGGTGGCTTATTAATCACCGTTACTCCCAGTGTAGCTCAGCGATTTCTACAATGGCAGTTTCCCATCCAGGGTAATTATGCAGGGCCTGTCTGAGAATCAGGAGTAAATATGCTAAAAAGAGATTTACCATTTATGAATAATGAGTCACAACTTAGATAACCAGGTGGCCGAAGGGCTTTAAAAATGTGTAATTATTCAGTTCTGTTCAATAAATAACAACTCAAATTGAACAAAGTAAATTTTTATCCAAATTACCAATAAATACTTAAGTAAAGCTCCAGAATTTTAAGTGGTTGCCCAATTTTTTAAATAAAGACATTGTACTTATCTTTATTTGAGGCATGGGGGCTGGAGGTATGAAAAACAGGGTATCAAAAGGTTTCACTCCACTTAGAACGCGGTTGCCCACATGCCTTATTTGGCATGGAGCAGAGACTGGAAAAAGACCCTGGTCATAGGGACAGGAGTCAGTAACTTTGCGGATGTTTCTTTTGGTGCTAGTGATACTCAACACCAGGATTATTAATGGACCCAAAAGAAAAGAAATACCAGAATATGATGACCCCTCCCCCTCAGGTTACAGAGACAGAACATTCCCCCATCACAGCCCTCAGAAGTTGAAGAATGAGAGCTTGATAGGGGCAATGGTTTGCCCCAAGTGGAAGCCACATGTGGAATCTGGGTACCTGATTGTGGCCTTTTAATGTTTACCAACTTTATTGAGCTCTCCAGCTCAAACTCTAGAAAGAAGATTTTAATGGTTTTCAAATAAACAGTGAGACAGAAAAATAAAACCACCCATAATAATTTTAGACAAATAAAAGACCTGAAAATAAGGACATAAATAATCCAAAATAAATAAGTAAACAGGTGCATTTAAAATAGTTCTGCAATATAAATAGTAACCTTAACATAACATGCAAGAAGTAGTAACATAATTTTGAATGCCACTTATTTCAAGAAACACAAGTAACCTTTGGAAACCTTATGCTAAATAGTCTTAAGAAAATGTTTAATAGTGTAATGGATTAATAATAAAAACTAGGAAATACAAAGACTTAATTTTTAGTAACCTAATAGCTTCTTAAGGAACCAAAAGTAAAAGTTTCAGAATGTTTAACCCCTTAAGAATAGGACAGAGAACCCAGAAATCTACCCAATTAATATGCTCAATATTTGACACAGGAGGTAAAAACATACAATGGAGTCAAGATAATCTCTTCAACAAATGTTGAGAAAATTGGACAGATACATACCAAAAAAAAGAAACTAGACCACCAACTTATACCATACACATATGTAAACTCAAAATGGATAAAGGACTTAAACATAAGATAGGAAACCATAAAAATATTAGAGGAATCCACAGGCAGAGAAATCTCAGACATATGCCTAAGCAATATCTTTACCAGTATAGCTCCTAGAGTGATGGAAACTAAAGAGAAAATAAACAAATGGGACTACATCAAAGTAAAAAGCTTTTGCACATCAAAAGAAACCATCAACAAAACAACAAGAAAGCCCATTGCATGGGAGAACATATTTGCCAATGTTATTACCGATAAGGGTTTAATCTCCAACATATAGGTGTACTGGTTAATAATGGCAGATTTTGTAATCAAAGAAAACACAATAATTTTAAGAGAAACATCAAAAGTGCTTTATTCAAAGTAATGTCCATTGCTAGCTACACATTTCCCTCATCTTTCAGGTAATAAGTGGATACCGTTCCAATAGAACTTTTCTTGTTTTGAGGCAAACCATTCAGAGACCCAATTTTCCACTTCTTCATATGTTTTGAAATGCTCCTCAGAAAGTGCATGTGCCATAGATTGGAACAAATGTAAATCTGAAGTAGCAAGGTCTGGTGAATACAGCTGTTGGGTTAATACTTCCCAAGCAAGATCTTTTAACGTGTCTTTAACTGGTTTTGAAATGTGTGATAGTGCATCATCAAAATTACTTTGCTGTGTTCTCTGGCATATTCTGGTCATTTCTCGATCAAAGTGTGTTTCAAATTGATTATTTAATGTCGGTAGCAATCAGTATTAACAGTTTCACCTGGTTTTAGAAAGAAGAGCATTGTCTTCTTTCTGAAGCGATTTGGCCTTGCAGTGGATGTTGATGGTTGACCTGGATTAACCCATGATTTTGTGCATTTGGGATTCTCAAAACAAATCCACTTTTCATCACCAGCCACAATTTGATGCAAAACAAAACAAAACAAAACAAAACAAAAAAACACATTTTCTTTCATGCTATTGAAGCAACGTTTTACTGATGACTTTTCAGTTTTCCATTTGTCTTTTGGTCAGTCCATTTTCCTTCCTTTAAAATCTTTCCCATTGCTTGTAAATCATTAGAAATTGTTTGCTGAGCAATGTTTAATCATTCTGCACATTGTTTTTTTCAGTTTGACATCTATTTTAATCCCATAATGCTTGTAATTGTTGGTCTTCAAACTTTTTTGGTTGGCCTGGACATTCTTTGTCTTTCACATCAAAATCATCAATTTTAAAGCATTTAAACTAGCATTCACAAATATCTTGAGATACAGCATATTCACCATAAACTTCTCAAATTATTCAGCAGCACTTTTCTTAAAAATAAAGTAATGAATTAAAACTTCTCACAAATGCTTTTTTTGCATGAAATTCTACATTTCTAAGTAGAAAAATTTATTTGATGTTAACACCTTCATAAAATTAGACATATGATGTTTTGAAGCTTGTTGTCAATACAACAAAATAGCATCATATCGAATCACATATATATCAACATATGTGTAACTCTTATCTATTGAAAAAATCTAGGGGAACTTAACAAAAGGAAGATAAACAACCCAATAAGAAAATGGGCAACAGACCTAAGTAGACACTTTTTTAAAAGAGTGCATAAGGAAGGCCAAGAGTCATATGAACACATTAGTCAAAGTCACTATCATCTAAAAGATGCAAATCAAAACGACAAGGAGGTAACATCTCACACATGTCAGAATGGCTATCATCAACAAATGGCAAGTGCTGAAGAAGATGAGAAAAAGGAACCCTCATGCACTGCTGGTGGGAATGCAGACAGGTGCAGCTACTGTGGAGAACAGTATGGAGTTTCCTCATAAAAAGAAAAATGGAACTCCCATTTGACCCAGTGATCCCACTTCTAGGAATATATCCCAAGATACTAGAAACGTCAATCAGAAAGGATATATGCACCCCTATGAACATTAGCAGCACAATTTACCACAGCTAAGATTTAAAAACAG